TAGTTCTTTAAGAACTGATAACGACGTTGCGTACATAGGTAGTGCAACTTGAAGTACAGATAGACAAATATGAATATTTACCTAAATACCTTTAGAAAACGAATGCATACTTCCTCCACAAACAAATGCGTTATTAGTAGAAACACTAAATTCCTTGTTTTTACATTATCTGCAATGAACACAATACAAGCCTGAATACAAGCAGTTTTTTATGAGGGACAAAAATATGTAGACAAATTCTTTTCAACATTAGTGTAGTACAGTTTCGTGTCAGAAGAGGATTAGGTTGTGTTCATCAAGTATTGTGGAATAAGTTGAGTGATTTTGAGACCATGCCGCGTGGTCCAGAAATTTCTTTCGATGTGAAAACTAAGATCATCGAGTTATACAAAGATAGTCAACGTCAAGTCGAGATTGCCAAAAAGTTGAAGCTGAAGCGTAAAGCAGTTTGGGCAATATTGAACAAATATAAACAAAAAGGTTTCTTGGAAGCCCCTAAGAGAAGTGGTCGGCCTAGAAAACTAAATGCTAGATCAGTTAGATTGGATAGAATAGAATAGAATAGAAGGCATTATGGATAAGTTTGTATACTCAGACATACTAAAGTATGTCATGTTACCCTATATGGAAGACAATATACCCTTAAGATCAATCTTCGAGCAAGATAATGACCCGAAGCACACTTCAAATCTCGCAAAGAAATTCTTTCTGGATGGAAAAATAGCAGTTCTCAAATGGCCTTCACAGTCTCCCGATATAAACCCCATTGAAAATCTATGGGAATACCTAGATAAGCAAATACGAGATAAAAAATATTCAAACAAGGATGAACTTTTTGTCGCTTTAGAGCAACAGTGGAGACAGATTGATGAATCTTATATCAAGAAACTTCTACAATCTATGCCGAGACGATGCCAGGCGGTGATTGATAATAATGGTTATGCTACAAAATATTAACACAAACATGGTTGGTTTTCTATAATTCAATGAACTTTGCTTCTTTTTTCTATAATTGTTTTGCTTTGTCTACATATTTTTGTCTTTCACAGATTTTTTTCAATTAATTTTTTATTGATTATTATTTATTCGTGTATAAGTAAGTATTATGCTATAACGAATCTGTATACATATACAGATTGGTGTATTAATAAAACAAGTTAAAAAAGAAATACAGCAGAATATTAATTTCTCTATATACTTTTGTCAATTACTGTATATATTTTAAAGAATATATATATTTTAAAGAATATCGATTTTTTTTTTCAAAATCAAAATAAAGTTCATTTAAAGCAACATATTTTCTTGGGAGATGTCAATATAAATATTTTGGACGATGATCCCATCACAAATGAATATTTGAATATCCTATCAAGTAACGGATTTCTGTCCTATATAAACCTACCTACAAGGTCCATCAGTGGCACATGTATAGATGTGAAAGACTTATCCAACAAAATTACTTGTATACCAATAATCCTAGAAAGCGATATTACTGACGACTTCTCCAATATTTTACTGATATCTTCAAATGAAAAACATTCTAACATCCCTACCGTTAATAACAACCAGGAAAATTACAAATGTTTTGTCGACAATTCAAAACTAATATCAAATGTCAAACAAGAATCCTGGGAACAATTAAGTATAATTAATATAGACAAGGCAACGGGACTATTCATAGAGAAAATAAAAAAAATAATAGATATTAGTACCAATAAAGTAATAATTAGTCACAAAGAGAAAAGCAGAAATGCCTGGATTACCAAAGGATTAATAACATCGGCAATAGAAAAAGAAAGACTATATAATGTAATGAAACTAACGCCAACTACAGAGAATACCGACTGCTACAACCAATATAAAAATAAATTTATAGAGCTTGTAAGGCAAACCAAACATTACCTAAATAAATTGAATAATAACTTAAATGATCCTAAGCAGCTTTGGACAACTATTGATGAGATTACTGGGAAAACAAAATTTAAAGAGCGTGTCACTGAGTTAAATAGAACATCGGGAACAGTATTAAAAAATACTCAACAGATATGCGATGAATTTGTACAATTCTTTACTGACATAGGCGAAAATTGAGCAAGTAATATACAAGCAAATGTACAAAATACTCAGCCTCCAAAAAGAACTTTGAACTCATTTATTTTGGATACAGTCGAGCAATGTGAAGTATACACCACTGTTATGTCCTTAAAAAATCGGAAAAGTCCTGGGTTCGATGGTATTAAAAGCGAACATTTGAAAATTATAGCCGAGGACATAACAGAACCACTCACTTACCTAATCAACAAATGCTTTGAATCTGGCATATATCCCTCAATTTTAAAAAAAGGTAATATAATACCGATACATAAATCAGGAACAAAAACAGATGTTAACAACTATAGACCAATATCAATAATATCCAGTGTAGCAAAGGTTTTTGAAAAAGTTTTATCTACTAGAATGATTCGATACCTCACAAAATTCAAAATTTTAAGTGAAAATCAATATGGATTTACAGAAGGGAAGGATACATCGGACGCAATAACTAAAATTGTAAATCAAATACATCAAAATATTGATAACAGAATCCCTTCAATCTGCATTTTTGTTGATTCAAAGAAAGCTTTCGACACAGTTAATCACAAATTATTATTAGAAGCATTGGAGAGAATTGGTTTCAGAGGAAACTCGTACTCACTGATCGAAAGTTATTTGTCAAATCGCCCACAATCTGTGCAGATATCAGGATCATTTAGTAAAGAAATGTATATTAAGTGTGGTGTCCCACAAGGAACTGTCTTAGGTCCGCTGTTATTCAATATATATTTAAATGATGTTTTCCAAATTAATTGTGTTGGCAAAATAACTAGTTTTGCAGATGATACTGCAATATTATATGAAGGCACTGACTGGTCTGATCTGAAAAATGTAATTAAAAAAGATTTTATCAAAATTATTCGGTGGTTCAACAGTAGAAAATTAAGCATTAACTACTCTAAAACACATTTTTTACCATTTGGATCTTATGCTAGACATCTGCCAAATTACACAAATTTCTCCTTCAATATTAATGATCAAAAAATGCAAATTAATAGAGTGCCCAACATAAAATACCTTGGAGTGGTCTTGGATCCTCACTTACGATGGGACATCCATGTCAATTATATTTTAAAGAAAGTTAGATTTGTATCCTTCAAAATTAAATACCTTGGGAATATATTGACAGAAAAATATCTTCGAACATTATACCATGCACTGATTGAGCCTCATCTCACATATGGTATATTAGCATGGGGAGCTGCATGTTCCTCACATATCTATAATTTAGATGTTTTTCAAAAAAGTATTCTAAAAATGATATTTAAAAAACCGAAACTTTACCCCACTGAAAAATTATACACAGATATTCGAAGGTATGATATAAGACAGCTTTATTTCTTACACAGTATTACTCACTACCATAAATTTGTAAACACCGACCAAAAAATTAAACATAATCATTATACCAGGTACAAAATTCGTGGCACAGTAGTTTCCTCAACCGCATAAATCTATAATGCAATATCTCTATCTAACTCCTAAATTTTATGAAATTATACCTAAGGACTTAAAAGATTTACGTTTCGGAAATTGTTTCAAAAGAAATTTAAAAAAGTGGCTACATTCTATATCTAGGACTGAAATTCATAAACTCATAAATACGAACATCAACTAAATACATAATCTACTGTAGCTAATTTTTGTCCTTTTTTGTCATTTGCATTCTACAGTTTCAACTTAAATTATTGGTCCATGTACAGGCGATGCCTTCTGTTGGGCCTGTTTTGATTTTATATTTATTTACTCATATTGTTTGTTATCTTTGTACATTGAGTGAATAAATATTATTATTATTATTATATCGTCAGTCAAACCAAGACGTAATCACAATATTTTTACGATAAAATAAAATATTTTAGTACCGTTTTCATGTCAACATCGATCTTTCTCAGATGCGCCCATCTCTGTATGAGATTGCAAGCGATTGCCAAATACCGAATTCATAATGCCGCAAAATAGGTGACAGGATGGTGAGTCACCGGATTGTTGCGATATGCAGCATGCAATCCCATCGTTAATAGTGCAAATATGCAAAGGCAGCGAGTCCTCATCATGGACGACAAAACTCCGATTATTACGGTATACAAGATGAGCTATACAATGTACAAGGTCTGTCACAAAGTAAACAAAACAAAGAAAAAAATTAATAAACATTTTTTGTTTCGGAATGAAGATTTTAGCTCTATGTCGGCATACCGCTGACCCTTATGGGCAAATGTAGTTTACCGAACAAAGAATAGTCTCACGGTGCCATATCAGCAGAATATGAGGAGTGGTTGTTGATTAAAACGCCATTTTTTGAGAAAAAATCGGACATAAGCGTCGATCGATGAGATGGTGCATCATCATGCAACAAGCGTCAGCCATTCTTTGTGAATAATTCCCTTCGAATCGTAGAAAAAAATCAACATTGTCTTCAATCTGGATTTTTCCAAACAGCTTTTTTTCGAATTTGGTTCGCTTTGGTGCTTCTATTCGGCACTTTAACGCTTGGTTTCAGGATCGTATTGAAAACACCACGTTTCGTTACCAGTCACGTGGTTCTACACAAAGTTTTTATTTGTTTTGACCTCTTTAATGACGTCTCTCGAAAGTTGAATTCGATGCAATTTTTGGTCGTCCTTGAGCTTGTACGCAACAAACCGTGAACGCGCACTTTTCGACGGTTTCTGGCGTCATCACAAATTTAGGCTGACCAACATGTTCGACGTCTTTCAGCGACTCACCACCCTCTTTGAACCGTGTAAATCACTCGTCGATTCGGCTACGAGATAAACAATCACCACCATACACTTGCATCAACATCTGTAAAGCCGGGTTTACACGGGTCAAGTTGCGTTCTACGAGTGTTTTACTTGATTCACAACTTGATCCAAAAAGCGCGGTTCCGCGAAGTCCAGTAGATGTGCAAGTCGACAGTTAAAAACATGGTGGAAAGTCGAATTGTCATACGAAATTGTGTTATTAATCTCACAAATATTCTCCTGGAAGAACTGGAAGAAGTTTTGGAGGAAGAGGAAAACACTGAAAACAAGGATATGGTGTCGAGAATGGCTTACACGGAGAAAAAGTCAAGGAGCTTCTACGAATTTAATAAGGGAGCTGAGATCCTAAAGAATACAGAATGATGCGCAGAATGACTGATGAAAAATTTGACTATTTGTTAGGCTTAACATTAATCCAACGAGAGGACACTATTATGAGAGAAATGAGAGATGCTGTCAAACCAGAAACAATGTTGGAAGTAACACTGAATCATCTAGCAACTGGTAATAATTACAGAACCCTTTCTCATCTCTTCCGAGTTTATAAATCAGCGATATCTATCATGATTCCCATTGTTTGTGAAACTGTGTATGACTGCTTGAAGGATTTCGTAAAGGTATCTGAATAGATAATAATAGAACATTTTTAAAATTTTATTTAGGCTTCTTAATAAAAAAACAAACAAATTCAATTGTAACATTTAGTTTGTCAAGTTCCATTCTTGCGAGATAATATCTCCGATAGCAGCATCATCATTTGCAACTGTGTCCTCGTTCATGACACAGTAGTCGCAGGAGGCGAATCCCAAGAAAGGGTTGAGGATTGAAATGCAGTTAATGCGGAAGCCTCAGAAGCAGAACTGCTCTTATTCATGGCATACGTTTAATGACTATTACAGGAGAGAAACTTTCTAACGATGCCACCTGCATGGAGCCCTTTAAATTATAATTTTTGCAAAAGGTGAACGATTTAAATCTGGACCCGTCACAGGTGTACAATGCAGACGAATCAGGGCTTTTTTGGCGTGTGATGCCTAACAAAACTTTCGTTTCTTGTAACGAAAAATCCGTACCTGGACGAAAAGTAAGTAAAGAGCGTATAACCATACTACCATGTGCTAACGCTGCGGTCACACACGCGCTTAAGATGATGGTCATTGGGAAATCTAATAAACCACGGGCATTCAAAGATATTGATTTACCTGTACACTATTACGAAAGTGCATGGATGACAAAAGACCTTTTTAAAAAGTGGTTTGATGAATGCTTCGTACCTGAAGTTAGAAAATGGTTAAAAGATCATAATTTTCCTCAAAAAGCGTTGTTGCTCCCGGTCATCCGTCTGAAGAAGAACTAACAACTGAGGATAAATGCATCACTGCGATGTTTCTTCCGCCAAATTGCACTGCACTGATTCAACCAATGGATCAGAATATCATTCAATTTGGCAAGCAAGACTATAAGAAAAACCTACTTCTGAGAGCCGCATCAAAAGACCAACCAATAGTAAAACTTTAAAAGAATTTAATATGAAAGACTTGGTTTTTGCTCTTTGTCAGTCGTGGAATGCGTTACCGTCATCAACGATTAAATCGTTTTGGAAAAAGTTATGGCCAGATATAGTCACCACTCCTAGCAACGTTCCACAAATCAGTGTTACTTCGGAAGTTATACAACAAGTCGCTACTGAAACACAGATAAGTCCGGAAGATTTGGAAATCTGGTGCCGTGGAATGGATAAAGAGGAAAATGTTTTTCATGAAATGTCTGACGAAGAGATTATAAAAGAGGTTTCTAATTATACAACAAACAATCAGGAAAATAACGACCACGTGATTGCAACTGCTCCACAAGTCAAAGCACAAGACGCAATTAACGCCTGTGCGCTAGGTTTACAATGGGCTGAAGAGAACGGTACAACATACAACGAACTTTTACTTTTGAGAAGACTGAGGGACAAAGCACTGATCTAGCGTTATAACAACCTTAAACAAAAAAAAAATTGATGAATATTTCCAAGCTACATAATTTGATAATTTCATTAATGATTTTGATTAATAATTGTTGATTATTTTGGTACATATGTATGTGCATTTATGCTTAATTTTATAATAAAACATAAGCTCTCTATTGTTATTTAAGTACATACATATACATAACATATATAATTTTACTATTGGATATGTAATTTGTCGGATTACAAGGTACTCTTTTGTAAAAAATTCCGGACTATAGGGGGTCTTAGGCAGTGCTCTATAATCCGACAAATTCGATAGTCCGACACTGCCCTGCATAATGTTTGTCGGATTACCGGAGGAGCACTGTAATTAGTTACCAGTTATTAAAAAATACACTTTTGTCGGATCTCTTTCAAAAGTCCTGTTTAAACCTTGTAGCTACTCCAATCAAGGACTCGTCGATAATTTTCTGTAGCTTCGGTCCCCGTCCTGTTCCGAGCAAGTCGGTGCGGCCGATGCATTCGTATGGAACGGCACATAAACTGGAAGTTGCTCGACACGCCGGCGGGCGGACGACGTAGTCAGGCTTTGGCGCAGGGTGACTGACCAACGCCGTTGTACTTGAGATGCCGAAGAACCTATAATGATGTTAGAAAACGGGCAGCCACGGACCACCGGCTACATGCAACGTGATCAAGCTGGAAAACTTTGCCGGAAATTGGTTTACGCGTACACGCTCGAAGTCTATAATCCTACGGATGATATCTACGTAGGGTGTGTAAGGTTGGTTGCACGGATGGCCTTTACACTGTTTCAGCAGCTGGGATTGCGTGTAAAAAATGCTTCGATTTCGATGAAACCTTTACAAGGTCTTGGGTGGTCATGATAGATAATAATAATAATAATAATAATGAATTTATTTTCCATTAGACATGCATGAACATGTATAGGTTTCGTCAAAAAGATACAATAAGTAAATATGTACAAAGTAAATAAATAAATAAAAAAAAACGAACAAATAACATCCAACAACAAACAAGTTAAAATTAGTGATAAAAACTGACAAAGTCGCTAATTGCATAAAAACAGTTACTTATAAAGTAGCTTTCCAGCTCAGATTTGAATTGGCCTATTGAGGTGATCCTTTTTGTGGAGTCATGCAGGTTGTTAAAAATTTTAGGACCTAAAATACATGGTGATCTGCTGCCTAACTTATAACGCGCAAAAGGTATATGGATGTCGTTTTGTCTGCGAGTGCCCATCTGATGTATATGACTATTCAAGGTGAAATCATCTTTGTTTAAAAAAGTATAGATAGCCATATTGTAGAGAAAAAGCGAAGGCAGTGTCATTATTTTTAATTTCTTGAATAATTCTCTGCAACTATAAGTGCTGCTTACTCCTACCATACACCTCACCAGCCGTTTTTGACTTAGAAACACCTTAGAAGCATTCACAGATGAGCCCCAGAAACACAAAGCATACAGCATGCGAGACTCAACCTGACCACGATACAACATCAATAGCTGATTCTCTGTGAAAACAGACCTCAGGTTCTTGAATAAATATGCTTGTGAATTTATTCTTGATGATAGATAATCGCAATGTCCTTTAAAGTTGAGACATTGGTCTAAGCGAATCGCTGGTATCGACTTTTGAATGTTATGGAACCTTATAACTGTGGTCTTCTCGCTATTAAGAAGTAACTGATTTTCTTCAAACCAGCTATTGATGTTGTACACTAAGGTGTTACATTTATTTATTAAATCAGCCTCGTCTTTATTTGATATAATGATGGAGGCATCGTCTGCATACAACGTGAAATGTGTCAGGGAAACATTGCTCCAGGTTATTTATATAAAGGGAAAACAGCACTGGCCTCAATATGGATCCTTGTGGTACGCCTATATTTATGTTAACCATACCCGATTTGACGCGCTTCAGTTGACCAGCGTTGTTGTGTGTTATTGCCACGAATTGTGACCTATTCTGCAAGTACGATTTTATCCACAGGTAGACTGAACCACCAATTCCATAGTCTGTTAGTTTGGCTAATAGTATGTCATGACTGACACAGTCGAACGCCCTACTGAGGTCACAAAATATCCCAAAGTTGGACAACTTGTTTATAGGCCAAAGAAAAGCCACTATTAACTCCACTGCGAAAGAAAAATCGACTTAGATGGGCTAAAGAACATAGACAATGGACACTCAACAATGATGTGCAATACATGGAGTGATGAGGCCCGATTCGAAGTTTGTGTTGGTGACAGTAGCAATAGAGTTATTCGCAAAAAAAATGAAGCATTATGCCATGTTGACTGTCTGAAGAGAAAAGTGAAATTTCCAGCATCCATCATGGTCTGGGGCAGTATGTCATCAAAAGGAGTAGGAAAACTTCATTTTATTGATGGAAATGTGGATACAAACAAATATTTATCAATTTTAAAAGAATCGCTTTTACCAGTGATGGAAGAATGTTTGACATCCGGCCAAGATTTTGTGTTTCAGCAAGATGGTGCAGCGTGCCATACCTCTAAAAAGGCTATAAAATGGATGGAAGAAAACAATGTACCACTTTTGAAATGGGTTTCTAGCAGTCCAGATCTGTCACCTATTGAAACTTTGTGGCACGAGATGAAAAAGATTCTACGACAACATCCTGCTCGTACAATCACCGAACTGAGACAAAAGCTTCAAGAAATATGGGATTGATTTACACCAAATTTTTGCCAAAACTTGGTTAACACTATGCCCCAAAGAATTTCAGCCGTAATAAAAAATAAAGGTGATGTTACCCAATGGTAATCTTTGCTTTGTTAACTTTGCGCATTTATTCGTACATTATTTATTTGTTCAGGTGTTCTATTAGTTATAGTATTGTATGTATTTTTTACGACTAGAGTGTATCTAAAATGTTTATGAGAAAATAAATTGTTTTAGAAGTAAATAGTTTCGTCATGTTTAGTTTATAAAGGCATATTTTGGTACAAATCTTGAAGTGGGCCAACTGAAGTGCGAAGGGGCTCGTACTCCATGCATCGCTCTAAGACAAAGCGAGTACAACATTCTACAGGAGAAAGAAAATATCACAGCAACATGATCTTATCGGCCGCAGTCCCGATGTCGAGTCAAAAGTGTCAGCATGAGGAGATACGCCCCTACGACAACTCAATCTCCGTTAAGCCTATGCATTTGCATACAATATATTAATAGATTTCCTGCGAAGCGAACCGCATTTGGACGTCTATTAATATATCTTTTCGTGTGTACAGGATGTCCCGATCAGAGCCACATGAGGTGACTTGATGGTTCAAAGGTGTCACGCAAGGCTTGAGGGGTTCGTATATAAAACTTAACATGAGAGAAATTCAACATATTTGTCGTCATTTTTTTTCAACCCAT